AGGTTATAATTTTTTTAAAACAAAATTTATTAATTTAATAAAAATTATTAAGAAAACACATGTACTAATTTACCCCTTTAAAAAAAATACCCTATTAGCTAAATATAAGTTCGTATTTTTCAAAGGTTTTATAGGGGATTTATTTTTTAGCTTAGATACTGACGCATATTCAATAAACATTTAAAATTTACTAAAACTCAAAATTATTTATTCACATAGGACTAAAATACATAATATACATAGAAAATACCCAAAAAACGGATACAAATAATCATACTCAACAATACAAATGTTTGTAATGTGCGAGAAATCCAACCCATGACCTTCGGAAGTACGGCGGTGTGCGAAACCGCTAGTCCACCGAGGCCGTCAAGAATATATATAATAGAATTATATATATATATATATATCTAAGAATATATATAGTAATAATTAGTTAAATATTAGTCGTGGGATCTTATTTGGATTGATTATCCCGATATTTAGGCAGTGTTTCAAAGAGCAGCGGGTAAATGGTAAATAAAATCTTTTACTAATTATACCTACACATAAATAATGACCGCATCAAATTTAGAACAGTATATATAGTAATATATTTTATTTATACATGAATAGTTACATAATATAGTAATATTTAATTCACAAACATTTTTTGCAAACCATTATCCTTGACCGCTGGCCTTTTTTGGCGTGATTATGCACGTATTACGCACACATTTGTCTGTTTTTTTGTATTAATAAATAAAAAAACTGTAATTCTATAACGTTATTCATATTATGTAACTTATCGGTATAGTTGGTTAGTATATAATTAAAAGGTTGTTTTGGCTGACTTTAACATTTTAATGCAAGTTCTTTTAAGGATTTCATTGCTTTATAATAAGATTTACTATTAGACTTGTGGTCCATCCCGTAATATAATATAATACATACAAATAAATAAAACTGAAGTTCGTATAAAATATATACGGTAAATACAGATGTACAAAAAAAATTGTTTATCTGTAAGTTTGTTTGCTATATTATAAGATAATCTCAGAAACGACTAGGCCAATTTCGACGAGACTTTTACTTGCGGGTTACTAATATTATAAGGAGTATATTACTTTTATTTTAGACTAGGTACCCACCTCGGCTTCGCACGGGTGTACATGTATTACATATAATACATACATATAATACATGTACCTTCCTCTTGAATCACTCTATCTATTAAAAAACAGTTAGTAATTCGTTTTATGGCAATTGCGTAAGGTTTTACAATAAAATACCAGAGTCTGTTATAAATCTGCCAGAAAAAAGATTTAAATGTCAAATAAAACAGTTCCTTTGCAAAAAAGCTTACTATAAAATTGAAGAATTCGTTAACGATAATAATGTTTTTATAGAAAAACTTTAAATCTATAGCACTGACAATATTATCTGATTACATTAATAATGAGTGCGTAGCGACTTCTATGTTGATTATCGCATGCCTCTTACTTGTAACTGTAATTATTTATATAAAAAAAAACATCTATTAAAAAGAGCAACACACAAGTTTCTTGCTCATTCTTCTTGTGATGAATCTGCATTCTTTAGAATCAAAATATGACTATTCAAAAGTGCTTGTAATGAGTTTATTTGAATAAAGATTATTTCTATTCTATTCTATTCTATTCTATTCAAAATCCGTTGTGTAGTTTTAAAGATTTAAGCATACATAGGGACAACAGCAACTTTTATTTTATACTATGTAATTATATAAATTCTAATTCTAAGTTTATTTATATAAAAAGTTATATATATACAATACACTATTATTGCACGATAATGTACACACTTGTATTTAGAATCCTGAATATGTTATGCATCCCATTTTATAATCACCTACATATCAAAGTCCGAATCTTATTGCATGTTTAATATTTGATCCTAATAAATTAGTGCTAGTTGGTGGTTTATATTCACACGTATCTACTTAAAAATATAAAATTACAACGATTATTTAAAAGAGCAACACGTGAGTTTCCTGTTCATTCTTCTTGTGATGAATCTGTGTTACAAAGGAGCGAGTGAATCAAAAACATATGACTATCCAAATATTTGAATAAAGATTATTTCTATTTCTAATAATATTTTTCTAAACTACAATAAACAAATTATGTATCTGTAATCTATAACAGATTAATCATATAGATAAAATACACATATATTCTCATACACTTCCTTAAACCCAACCTCGTCTGACAACCAGTCGCGGTGGTAATAAAAAGAAATATGTTTTAATGACCATAAAACAAGAGACATGGCTCTTGTAATAATTTACATTTGCATATTAAAAGCATCGACGCACGATTTAACACCCGATTATGCATACTGTTTCATCCCCAGCCAGATTTGGGGATCCCTAAAAAGTAGGGAGTTTGTAGCGGTGGACAAAAATTTGGGGAAATTTGCTAATAGGAAGAAAATTGAGGTTGACGTAAAGCGAAGGCGTGTTATGTTAATGTAGAAGAGACAAACTTGTTGTCCCTGGATTCACCGTGCGGGTGCCGGGTCCATCGTGTGGCAGAGAAGGAAACTCTGAGCAGTTCCCAGTACTAGTAACTAGATGTTACTGACATGGTGAATCCACGGAATGCTAAGAAGTTCGTCTCTCTTAGTCTATTTCTATTTCGAAAGCCTACAACATTAGGTTTTTATATAAGGGTATATTAAGGTTTCTTAAGGGTCGGCAACGCGCATGTGATACCCCTGGTGTTTCAGGCGTCAATTGGCTACGGTAACCGTTTACCATAGGGATGTGTAGTAAGCTTGTTTACCACCGTCTTATTATAAAAAAACGCGTAATGTTCGTTTTTTGTTTGATCTGAATACATGGCATGTTTGATAAACAATTTTGGCATGTCTTCCTACATAACGGCGCAATGGAATAAACAAATACTAGAATAGAAAGGTTTCGATTACGCATTAGAGAGTGACACAGTCGACCTCGACTTGTATAGTGAAAGATAGATAGTGATGGGAAATAATAGCATTAGAATAGTTCGAACAAAAAACTCTATAAATAATCTACGGTTATAATAATAATAACGTACGACAAATCACACAGCGCCATCTAGTTCCAAATTAAACAGAGCTTGTGATATGGGTACTAGACAGATGATATAAATACTTCAATTTATTTCATAATGTATATAGAAAACAACCAGACTAATACAAACAATCATATTTATGAATACAAATGTTTGTACTATGCCAGGAATCGTACTTGCGACAATCGGAAGTAATGCAGTGGCTGTACGAGGCCGATTGACCATAATAAAGTACCCTAAGCCGTACTATATGCCAAATTTTACTTGTAAATTCAATTTGATAGAGTGCCCCGTCAAAACATCATAAAGCAAGACAAAAAAAATTAAAAACGCAGTAAATTTCATTTGTATTCTTGTCTTTAAGTACCTACTTAATTAAATTTATTATTTATAATAAAGTTTATACAGTTAAATGTTAAATGCACGCACAGTTTACGTTTTCACATTCACGACTCCATAAAACTCATATTATAGAAACATTTTCGATCTTAATATGTTTGTATTAGAGTTTAGTTTGAAATAAACTGTTAGCCTATTAGCATCTATTATACTTACTAAATAAAAACGTCACGGAAGTAAGCCGCAATGAGAGTAATGGACACAGTCAGTGCTCTGCCATAATGCCGGAAAAATTGCAGCCAGATATTACCTGCTATTAATTTAACAATGAAATCATTTTACCAAATAATGCTAGAGATTCAAAGTACTAGTGAGTACCAGAGACGAACTTCACAACTTTGTCAATCAAGTCTGACAGGTGTTTGCGCTGGAGCAAATTGCGATTAATTTTTATTTTATTAATATAAAAAATGACGGCTCTGGACACAAGTCTTTTTGAGCCCAATCTTACCGAATGAACAGTTTAGCCACAAATATTTTGATATTTAATCAAAATATCGTTATTACAGGCACTTATAAAAGCAAATATACCGTCAGTTTCCAAATTGAATATAGAAAGAAATATATTTGTTTGACAAATATTATGATATTAATTTATATAAATGCTGTAAGTAAATATATAATTACTAAGTAAACCTGCGTGGTTGGTTTGGTTACCACACCGCTTTGTGATCCCTGAGCACAAATTTTCAGAGTAGCCGGTAGGAGTAGGTAGTGGATGGCTTTATCACTCAGATAAATTCAGTAAAAAGCGTATATGTTACGTTAGCTGTACGTATCACTTTCAGAAAAAAATCATATTGATCTAATAAATTCTAATTTGTAAAAAACAATGGCGTTTTTTTTTTTATAAAATAATTTGTGCAGACATTTTTACAACTCCAAACCAATGATTTTCAATATTTGTTATAAACTATAAGGAACTTTAAATGATTAGTCTTTTGTTTGTGTTTGTTTTTGTTTAAATTTGTATCTAGGAATTATTTCTCGGGAACGTGAACGCCTGGACTGATTTCGATAATTCTATTAGGTATAGTTGCGTTTGTTATTGTCAGGAGAAGGTTCTTATGAATAAAAAGTGAAAAATTCGCCGAACATTAAAAAAAATTAAATGCGATTTAATATTCATAGTAGATAGGGCAACTTCTGTCGGGTGATCTAGTCTCAAATAAATTTACAGAATCGGTTACTATTCAATGATGATATATATATTTTAATTTATTTTATCCGTGAGTCCATCGGAGTTTTGATAATTTGGCCAAGGTTGAAACAGACACTTCTTGTATTAGAATTGAATTTTCTAATATTGAATTTTCCTGCGTTATCCTTTTTGAAGGTAACAGAAAAATGTATAAATTATAATAGATTTTCTCTATATAATCTCTAATTTATTTAATTGAGGAATTTTATTTTCTCATTATTAACAAATAATGTAAACATTACCAAAAAATATATATACGAAACTAACTCTTAGAAACTAAACAAAACTTAACTATACGTTGAACATCAATATGTTAACCTTACCTGTGCTTAATGCAATAGTTAATTCAAACACATCCAGCATCCACTTCACCGCATTTATCCAACACAAAACCAACACCAATTCGTTAATTAGCGTTATCTTTAATCGCATCGAGTCGAAAATGACAGATTGGCATCACAAACACAACGTCGAGATCACACAATGGACGTGAAAAAAAAACACAAAAAGCACTGACCATGGAACGTAACACGTTACCGCACTAATTCAATATTAATCATAGACTTTTTTAACTTTTTTTTTCACTGCGCGCGAAAATCGTAAGCGGCTATTGCGCGCGCGGCGCGCGTGCTCCGTTCGCTTATGCCGACAGCTGACTGAATGCCAATTCAAAACAACGCTGCAATTACCTTCAATATTTCGCTAATGACCTTTGTTTTAACATAAACGCGTACAGCCTCTGGCGGATCGTGGTAAACCATCTCGTCTTTCAAACGAGGCCGCACACGGATTTTGGGGGGATTGTTAAAAATGTCATATCCATTACGTCCCGATAACGTCTGGGTATCTCCTGGTGAATGACTATGGACTAATAGTATCTTTCACTAGCATCACAGATAACATAATATTACACTAGTAGGTACCACGTCAAAGATTTGCTTGTATGCACTATAAGAACTCTTACACGTTGGTACCTACGTATAAAACAGAAAAAATAAGGTATTTCTCTTCCACAATAAATTTTTCAGATTTCTTTTGAGAAAGATAATTACGGTATCTTTGAGCATCGTGGAAAGAAATCAAGGCAGCATGTTTGTCATTGTCTTCTTTGTAATAAATAGGCATCCTTATGACTGTCAACCAAACTAGGTTAATCTGATATAGAGACAGTGGAGAGAACATAATAATATAGTGACAGAGATCATAATTATAAAATAGCACTTTGTTAAAATATGATCATTCTTTACTAGTATAGCATACGTAAATGGTTATAGGAATAAGATCATGTCAATGATGCTCTAGAAACACTTCCTGCGCTCGATGCGCGGGCGCAGCGCGGATGTAGTGGTCCCGTCGTAATGCATAATAAATCGTCCAGATTTACTTCCCGCGCAACTAGATGTGATTTATGCGCAATACTGTATCGAATTAACAATTACCTGCTTTATGTACCGCGTAACTGTTCATTGTGCACCTACGCACGTGGGATATGACAAAGATGAACGGCCCGTGTTGTTGATAAGACTATGTTATATGTATGTACGAAAGTTATAAAATACCTGGAAATTACTCATTGTATAATTTGAATTAGTAATAATAACCCCAGGACTTTCACGCACTCACACAGCGCCATCTAGTCGCAAGAATAGAATTGAATTAAATTTATTACAATACAACAATGTAATTATTGTAACACAACAAGCTGTTCTTAGTATCTTACTAATATTATAAACGCGAAAGTTAGTGAGAATGGATAGTTGTATATTAGTAGTTTTAGTGAAAGACTAAAACTACTGAACGGATTCTGTTGAAACTTTGATTGTTTGTATCTGTCTGGGTGTATTTTATGTATATTATGTATGTATTTACAAAAAGATCTATGTATTTATATCAGTTGTTTAGTACCCATAACACAATTTACCTGGAACTAGATGGTGCTGTGTCTATTGTCCAGGATTATTTATTGATAAGATATTTATTTAATTTATTTTAGTGGTCACTCTTAATTTTAAGAGCCCGCTGAACTACGAATGAGCGGTGGAATAAAAAAACTAGACTATTCAAAAGTATAATTGGTTTTTGAATAAAGATTATTTATATTTCTACTAGCTGTCCCGGCAAATGTTGTTTTGCCTTAAAATAAAATAAAATTTAGGAGTGGACTACCCCTAACATTTAGGGGGATGAAAAATAGATGTTGGCCGATTCTCAGACTTACTCAATACGCTCACAAAATTTCATGAGAGTCGGTCAAGCCGTTTCGGAGGAGTATGGGAACGAAAACTGTGACACGAGAATTTTATATATAAGATTTCAGGAGAATCAAGCCTCAGGATAGAGCGAGTGGGAATGTAAAAATAAAACACGTCATTCTTTGGAAGAGCTCGGGATATTTATTTCAGAAAATAATATACAACAAGAGTTCACAAGAGTCATGTACAACAAATAAGTTTAACAACAATTCAGCGATCAGTGGACTCTATTAAAGATGGATTTATACTAGTCGAGCGAATGCTACTAGAGCTCGGGATATTTATTATAAAAAAAAACAATTATACACAGGAGTTGACAACTTTCATGTACAAAAAAAAAGTGTAACAATTATTCAGCGGTCCGTGGACTCTATCACAATTTAGATCAATTTCAGTATAGTAGGTAATAATACACAAGAGTTTAACAGATTCATGTACAAAAAAAATAAGTTTAACGACAAATCAGCGATCAGTAGACTCTATTAAAGATGGATTTAAACTAGTCGAGCGAATGTCCCTTAGAACAACTCAGCGATCAATGGACTCTATTAAAGTTGGATTTAGACTAGTCGAATGTTACACCTCTATTCAATTACCATGTATGTGAAATATGGAATTCCTACCTTCGGTACATTCGTCTGCGTAAATAATTAACTTACCAATATCTGTCACTGTCTGTGTATATTTAACACTCTGATTATTTTAATCTTAATAATAATAAGACTAAAATAATCGCGAAAGTTTGTGAGTACGGATGTTTGTTATTCTTTCACGCAAAAACTACTAAACGGATTATATTTTTTATTGAAATTTATATATTAAAATTTAACGAGAATGAAACCACGGGCACCGATAATGATTTAATAATGTTAAGACCTGATGAAATAAATTTATATTGTGGAATAAAATATCTTCTGGTAGGAGTTTGGCTGGCTACTCTAGTAGTATCGGCTCTACACGAACAACGGCCCGGATCAGAGGCTAAATACTGAGAATAGAGTCCAACTTACATTACATTAATTACGAAAATTAAAAAAAATACATTACCTCAGTCTTATAACGTAATACACGAGACAATTATGGAATGCCATAAATTAGTGCCAGCAACATAGTGTGTGGAGATCATCGATAAATATCGATTAAAAAAAACCGGTGTTAATTTACCGATAACATTTCATCGATGTTTTAATACCGATTATCCCCAATACGATGATGCTACATATTACATTAGTTTTTACTTTCCCCATATACCTAAAGGTACTCTGGATGAGGTTGCTTGGCGTTATGACCGCCTTTTTCATAGGTTAGTGTATATGTACTATATTAACTATATACTACATATACACTAACCGATGATACTACATTAATTACTGACTAATATTAACTATTTTCTGTAATTGGTGCAATAAGAATTACAAATAATTAAAAAAAAACTGCCACTAGCATTACAATCATATAGATTTTTAAATTAACATTTTATAAAAAGTTGCCATATTCAAAACAATACTAACAAGATAGTAGTGTAGTTATATGAAAGAGTTGCCCAATGAAAATTGAAAAAAAATAATATTTATTTCAAACTACAGTGGACCCCCGGTAGTCCGACAATCATTTTCAGTGCAGTGTCGGACTATCGAATTTGTCGGATTATAGAGTACTGCCTAAGACCCCTTATAGTCCGAATTTTTTTACAAAAGAGTACCTTGGAATCCTACAAATTATAGATCCAATGATGATTCTTTATATTATATACATATACAGTGGACCCCCAGTTATCCGACAAACGTTTTGCAAGTGTCGGACCATCGTATTTGTCGGATTATAGAGTGCTGTGTCCGGAATTATATCTTCCGACAAATTACAGATCCAGTGATATGTTATATATGTATGTATGTATATGAAAATATTGTCAAAAATATTCAATAACAAATAATAGACAATGTCGGATTACAAGGGGGGCCGGATTACCGCGGGTCCACTGTATCATGTTGTAAAAAGCAGAGGGCGCTTTTAGAATATAGAAACATAAGAAAACGTCATGAAAATTGGCGTATTTATACATGGGCGTTTGCAGTTGAGTACCTGAGTGGTCTTGTGGTTTAGTACACTGTGCGATCTTCTAATGGTCACAGGTTCGTTATTATATTCAAATATTAGTACTCACTATTATTTCTGGTCTGTGTCTGGGAATCCAGCTTACTTGCCCTTGTTTTGGCATAATAATATTGATAATACCTCTGGACATTTCACACAGCGCCATCTAGTTTCAAGTTAAGCAGAGCTTGTATTATGGGTACTAGACAACTGACATAAATAAATATATTTTGTTTTGTAAATGCAAACATAATATACATAGAATAATAGTCATCAACACAAATGTTTGTACCGTGCGAGGAATCGAACCAGTGAAGTAAAGCGGTGTTTAACAACTAAACCACCGAGGACGTCTTACAACATATACTGTTTTAAACTTGACGCGGTCATTATTTATACGTATAATTAGTAAAAATCACGGGATCTTACCACGTTTTATATTTATTTGCTAAGTTCCCGATATTTCGGCAGTGTTTCAACCACCACGATCACGGGTAAACTGAAGAGCAGCGGGTAGATGGAAAATGAAATCTTTTTATGGGCAGACATATGCGTCTACCTTCACACGTCTTCGTTTGTTGCTACTACTGGAACTCGCTCGATATTCATGATCATGGAGGTTGAAACACTACCGAAATATCGGGAACTCAGCAAATAAATATAAAACGTGGTAAGATCCCGTAATTTTTACTAATTATACGTCTTACAACATATTACAATAACTATATTAAAAACGTATCTATTATATGTACTCCATTGTATTATTAATGGAATTTTCTTGTTCATAATAACAATACTTGTTATCAACAATATTATCTCATTTGTGTGGGAGAAGTAATTAAAAATGCACTAATATTAATTTGGTAATTAACTAATTGATCTGCAGCTACCGACTTGTTTATCAATACTGTAAGGATGAATGTACTTAGTTACTTATAGATACTTGTTTAATATTGTATGTTGTACTTAGTTAATATTGTTGATAACAAGTATTGATTGACTGACTGACGTGATTGATTGATTGACGTAGTACGTATTTAAGCATTGATTATAATAATAAAAGAATCAGTATACACTCAAATATCGTACCTATCATATGCCTAACAAGCACCACCCTTATATGGCGACCCTGCCACCCTTATATGGGTAATCACAAGGGAGAAATGGGGTTGTAATTAATACTCGGGGATTGTTTGTTGGGATTTTCAAGAAGGGTATATTAAGGTTTCTTAAGGGTCGGCAACGCGCAATGATACCCCTGGTGTTTCAGGCGTTCATAGGCTACGGTAACCATTTACCATTAGATGGGCCGTATGCTTGATTGCCACCATCGTAGTATAAAAAAAATGTAATGTGGACTGATAACCCCATTGCTAGTAATTTACCATATCACGTTGACCTCCACGCGGTTCCCCTTGGAAACCGTCGTGATAAATTCCTGGTGAAGGGCTAACTGACCTGACGTCATGCCCATATCATCCTCCATTGGTGCCCCGCCATTACTAACCGTTAGCGTAGGCGGGTGCACCATTCCATTATCATCAACAGACATATTTTTGCTCGTTTTCTTTGTCATAGTCGCATAACTAACCGTTTTTAACCACATTTTATCAGTAACTAAGTAGCCCCTAAAATTTGGCTAATTAACGGTAGGTAACCGGTTTTATACAACTATAACTCTCCACAGTGTCTTTGGAGTTCTATTAAAGTTCTATCTCCACTATTCTTGGCTGCTAATTAATTTAAAATCTGGCTATCAGGTTGGTATACCCCTTACTACCACTTTAGGTACAACGCCCTTAAAAAAACAAAAATATCCATTACTTCTCCCATTATTAGCAGATCTTTATTTGTTTGGTGGAGTGTACACCAGATATATACCTTATGCAATGCTATATTATATGTCGTATATAAGTATTACAAATCTATGCTTAGCAATAACTGACATATAAAAATGTTGACATGAATCAATTCCAAATATTATATTGTTATATGCGTGTATTTGATCATATATATATGATAAACATGACGATATGAGAAACATATTCCCTCCTTTATATATCATAATGACAATATTTATGTCATTTAAATGGTATACATATATGTATATAGGCCACCTAGTTCCAAGCTAAGCAGAGCTGGTGATACTATAGAACTGATATATATACTTAGATACATATTTTTTATAAATACACATAGAAAACACCCAAACCGACATAAACAATCATACTCATGAATACAAATGTTTGAAACGTGCAAGGAATCGAGCCCGCGACCATCGGAAGTAAGGCGGTGGCTAAACCGCTAGACCAGCGAGGCCGTCAATATAAACATTATCATTATCAAATAAGATGAGTGTATATTTCTTGTCTTATCTGCTGCCAATATTAATTACAAATGTATATTTGAAGTATAGCTACAAACTGATACATGTTTTGACTGACATCAATCAATTCCAAATTCAAAACACCAGTATTTGTTCTTATCACATAATCACTACAATAAGATAGTGTTACTCCTCATTTATAAAAACCGTAAGAAACCTACTTATACTATTCTGTCACTTTCTCTCAAATAATGAATGACCATTGGAAAGATAAAGACAAAACAGTCCAATAGCTGCAATGGATACATTTTACGTTTTTATAAATAAGAAAGCTACAGTTTTGGAGGCACTAGCTTTGAAATAGAAATATAAATTATCTCTTAAATATAATTAATATTTAAATATAAATGATTATACAATGTTTTATTGCGATTCTTATATTTATACAAGTATGCAAATAAATTGTTCTTAAAAATACAGCCAGTTCCACATATATACACATATACATGTAAATTATATATAACTAGCGGATATAGCAAAAATCGTCTTGCCCGAAAAAGCAGCGGCGCCTACCAGATCTTCAATTGTATATTCAAATTGTCCAGTAACTCATTGACGGCTGCAGTGGTCTACCAGTTTAAGCACACAGCCTTACTTTCCGATAGTCGCGGCTTCGATTCCTCGCATGGTAACATTTGTATTCATGAGTATGATTAAGCATTATGTGTGGTTGCCACTCATGTAAACTAATGTATGCACTGTGCGAGAAATCGAACCCACGGCTATAGAAAGTAAAGCGGTGTGCTAAACCCTTAGACCACCGAGCCCGTCAAAGTAATGCGTGGAATAGACTGTATCTTCAAAACATTCGTTATATTAATACTTAATTAAATATCACATATCCATCTTAATATCTTATAATTAATTAACATTCATTCCAAACACTCCATAACTATTGGTACACTTACCAACATTTATTAACCCATTAATTCTATAACTACCCTCATAATTCTTACAACCCTTGACTGTCCTTTTACTAACCACCTCGTCTATACAATCCAATAAATGCTCGAAGAAATTAGGAAAATTATCATAACTCGGGTATACATTAATATCTATAACTGCATGATTACCTGCCTGATTGTCTATGACCACGTCGAATCCTGCTAGAAGTAAACCAATCTCCTTCCTTAACACTCTGATGACGGTTTTAATCACATCTTCATTTATGGTCATTGTAATATCAGGTTTGTCCTGCGGATCTAGTATTGAAAGAGTTGACTGACTATCGGCTTTACAAACTTCGCCGGTACTATAAAAGATTGGCTCAATATCTTCGGATGCATAGAAGTTTTTAAGACTTGGTCGTTTACAAATGTGATATCTGCAAAATGAAATGAAAATATCTTTACACATTTAGGTCAATTACATAATCTAAGATATGTCAAATCTACAGTCAGTTCGGAGGAGGTTCGATCTGAGAAGAACTGACAAGAAACTCGGCTATTATTCTTTTCAAATAAGGTTGTACATGTTTATAGTACAATAATACAGATTCATTTTTAATTCAAATTTGGGAGAATAAACAAAAATTAAATGTACACATGTATAATGAAGCATAAATTTGTTACTTATTGCCTGGACGGTCTAGCGGTTTGGTTTAGATTGGTCGCGGGTTCGATTTCTCGCACGGTGCAAATATTTGTATTCATGAGTATGTTTGTTTATATCGGTATGGGTGTATTCTATATATATTATGTATGTATTTACAAAAAATCTAAGTATTTATATCAGTTGTTTAGTACCTATAACGTAAGATCCAGACCAAAACAAACAATCATACTCATGAATACAAACGTTTGCACCGTGCAAGAAATCGAACCCGCGAACGAGGCCGTTACATAACATAAATAGACTCACCTGTTGCCTATTAAAAATACTTTATGCAGCACTGCGTTGTGGTTGACGAACGTTTGTACTACACACGGCGATTTACATACAGATAGACCTTTCTCGTTGAATATAACGATCATTTCATGCGCAGACTTCGATCCGTGGGCTATCGTGGGCTTGCATATCACGGGGAACTTCACCCCCCTCGCCTTCATTATACCAATGTTGACTTCAATGTCATTCGTTGTGAATTCCGCGAAGGTTGGTGTGAATATACCTTTGTTTTGGAATGATGGCTCATTTTGAAGTATGGAGTAATAGCAGTATCTGAAATATAATTATATGTTTTTAACTATGTATCTATATACTTTTATGAGTATACTAGATACTCAAAATTGTATAGATACTCAAACGTTGAATTTGCCATATAAATTAATATCACTATTAAAAAATAGGCTGTTTTCTTTTGTGAATGATAATGGTATGATGCACCCGCCTGCGCTAACGGTTTATGATGGCGGGGCACCAGTGGAGGATGATAAGATGAACATGAGGTCAGGTCAGCCCATCGTGACAAATTCACCAGGAATTTAACTCGATGGTTTCAAGGGGGAACCGCGTGAAGGCGACCTGACATGGTACATTGCTAGCAATGGGGTTATCAATCCACATTACTAACAATCCCCATCCCTCCTAAAGGTGGTTGGTGATAGGTTTTTTTTATTAGGACTGCTATAATGGTGTTGGCCGCAGATGGCCTTTACAGCTTCACCGGACGATAGGGGCAAGTGCAGATGGCACTCCAAACCAAAGGAAGGACTTATGGAGCGGCTGAAGGCTAACTCCCGCTTGACGGATACGACTTTAGTCTGAGAGCACTACTAGGGGTTCGAACCTCGGCTCAGTCCATCGTAATTTCGGTCCCCGTTCGATTTGGCGGGGAATCGATCGGAGGGGCGGCACTCAACGGTTCTGAAGATTGCCATTTGGTAATAGAAGGGTGAAAATTTAGGGTTGCTTATATTTTTAAATGCCACATTATAAAAAAAATAAAAAATTGGAATTTTATACGTATAATTAGTAAAAATCACGGGATCTTACGACCTTTTATATTTATTTGCTGAGTTCCCGATATTTCGGCAGTGTTTCAACCACCATGATCATGGCTAAAACTGTCAGTTTTACCGGGAACTTAAAACGTAATAAGATCCCGTGATTTTTACTAATTATGCGTATGAATAATGACCGCGGCAAATTTAAAATAGGAATTTTGTCCAAAAAAAATAAAAGAAATGTTAGGGATTAGAAATTAATTACTTAACTTGTTGATTGTGTATTTAATATTTTGACATTAATAAATTAGTGCTCGTTGGTAGTTTGTATTCACACAACACAACTTAAAAATGTAAAGTTACAACAATTATTTAAAAGAGCACCACGCAGATTTCGTTGCTCGTTCTTCTTGTGATGAGACAGAGTCAGAGACTTTCCAAATGAGTGGTAGATTAAAAAATATAATATGTTTATTCAAAAAGGCTTGAATTTAAGTTTATATTAAGAATTTCCTATTGAAGTATAATAAAAACATAAACTTTAGGCAATCTATAGATAAAAGATATCCGAGAATGATTATTATATTATTTTTGTCTACACGTAATTACACGGTAATCTCGGTTTCACTGATATGAGTGTATTGCCTCTAATGTATTTTTAACAATTACTGAATCTTACTAATATGGGTCCGTTCAGGAGATTTATTACAATTATCAAAGATTAGGTAAAGATTTCTCACTTAATATATTACTTTTTAACGAAGACAATGTGAGGGTTGCCATTTGCGTAAAAAAGTAAACGACTACCGATGACGTACTCATCATCTAGACTCCCCTACCCCCCATGTCATCCAAATTATATAAAGCCAAGACCCCCCCCCCCCCATAATCCTTACATAATACTTGAATGTCCCCTATTATAAACGTTGAAGTGTCTAAGTACAGATGACGGATAGATGGTTGTTTATTGTTGTATTCTTTCAGACAAAAACTATTGAATGGATTTTAATAAAACTTTACAATGATATAGCTTATACATCAGTGTAACCTTACTCGTATTATAAATGCGAAAGTAACTCTAACTGTAGACGATATTCTAGACCTAGGTGTACTCTTGATAGTCTAGACCCTGAGAAAAGATGTAGGCTACTTTTTAATGCCAATAAAGAAAGAAAGATTGTATGGAAGTATTGTCATTTCTAAATACAGAAGCTAGAAACTTATTTTTAGGGTGTTGATTAAATATAAACAAATATGACATTGAGAGTTTGTAAAAATTTTACCCTTAAAATAAATTAGGGGATGAAAGTTGTATGGAAATCCGTCATTTCTGAAGCTAAAACGATGAAACTTTTTTCTTTGACTTTACCCCAATAAAAACTATATATGTAGGTTTATATATTCATCCCTAATGTAAGTATGTATATTTAGCAGTATAGTAAATAGTGTCTTATGTGTGCCACCTACCTATTCTATGTACATAAGTCCTTTATTCTAGGTTGTCTGTAAGAGATTACTTTTAGCGATAACCGCCGCGCCGACCGCCTTTTGTAATTATTATTGTAAATTATTAATACTATTTACTGTATTTTCTTATTAATACATATGTGTACACAATAAAGAGTTTTATTATTAATATTATTATAAAGCAATTACTAAATATTTGTGACCAAAATAAATAAATAATTTGGTCACGCCGACGAAGTCACGGGAACAGTAGGTTATAAATTTGAGGCGGGTGAAACCGCGGGCGCAGCTAGGTTTTTTTTTTATATCATAATTTGTGCGCGTATTATAATTTTCTCTGTTGACGAATTAAATATTCACAACTAGGTACATACCTATTCAATAACATCCTCACATTATCTAAGGGGTCTACAACGGCTATATTCGGGTGATTCGATAGGTACTGCTCCACTTGACCTATAATGGTTGATGCCTGCAAGATACATGGAGAAATAAATTAAACACTGAACGCACGCGATGGTCTAGTGGTTTAGCACACCGTTTTACTTTCGATGATCGAAAGTTCGATTCCTCTCAAAGTACAAGTATTTGTATTTATGAGTTTGTATCGGTCTGAGTGTTATCTATGTATACAATTTTTTTCTCTTTTATATGTAGATAAAAAAGAAATCTAAAAATCCAAACTCCACGTAGTCTAGAAGTTTAGCACATTTTACTTCAGATGGTCACGTTTTCGATTCTCGCACCAACCAGCATGTGAATGTAAGCTGTACTTAGATTGAGACTAGATGGCGCTGTGTGAGTTGTCCTAGATCATTTTTATTATTAAGAAATTGAAACACTCACGAACATGGTAGAAAATCATTTTGCTGCTTGAGTGATTCATTATTCTTGATTTATACGAGTATATTTATATTCATGAGTATGACTATTTCCATCGGTTTGGGTATTTACTATGTATATTAGTTATATATTTAAAAATATATATCTCTAAGTATTTATATCAGTTGTCCAGTACCCATAACACAAGCTCTGCTTTAGAGTAGACGAGTAGATCGGAAGTAGATGGGGCTATGTTAATTGTCCAGGGTTCTTTTTTTTATTTATGACTAGCTACTCGCCTCGGCTTTGCCCGGGTGTATTATACATATAAACTTTCCTCTTGAATCACTCTATCTATTAAAAAAACCCCTTCGAAATCCGTTGCGTAGTTTTAAAGATATAAGCATACATAGGGACGGACAGACAGCGACAGCGACTTTGTTTTATACTATATAATGATGATACATTTTTTTATTTTAAAGATACAGATTGAAAGATACAGTAAAATATTCAAATAAATGAAGAACACCCTCTATTCGAAGTTGTTTCATAAAAAAAAGTAATAAATCGAGTCCAGGGTCAATCAGTGACTGCATTTCTTTATCACTTACCTTCGGGTCACCTTGATCGGCCGCGGCAATGATATCAGTTAGTTTGTGGATAAAAACGTCGATCCGAGCCTGGTCCTCGAGAGGTCGCTCTAGATCTAACTGTAAAACATTATTTATTATATGACTTGCATGAATAGAATAGAATAACTTTTCGGTAACGTTAATTAAATAGAAATAGAAATAATCTTTATTCAAATAAACAAGCACTTTTGAATAGTCATATTTTGATTCTACCACTCATTCGGAATGCAGATTCATCACAAGAAGAATGAGCAAGAAACTTGTGTGTTGCTCTTTTTAATAGTTAATTAATTACTAATGTATAGTTTCACTACTTAATGAATTTATATAGCCTTCAATATAAATTCATTAAGTATTAATGAAATAATGAAATGTATGTATATATTACTAGCTGTCCCGGCAAACGTTGTTTTGCCATATAAATTAAAATCCCTATTAAAAAATAGGGGTTGATGCTAGAAGGGAAATGATTATGAAAATTTAGGGTTGTATGTATTTTTCAATCCTAAATAATAATAAAATTAAAATAAAATATGATGTCGAAAAATATATGTTTAGGGGTGGATATTACTTACCACTTAGGGGTATGAAAAATAGATAGTAGCCGATTCTCAGACCTACTGAATATGCATAATTTTATACCTACGCATATTCATAAAAATCGATCAAGCCGTTTCGGAGGAGTATGGTAACTAACATATATACGTAATATATATTTTAATTGTTTCATAATTATTTGACTATTTAATACTTATGTTGAGTATTCTGTTAGGAACAGTCACTAGGCATAACACTAGGCTTTTAAGCTATATCCAAACTCTACTTAATGCCCGATTCAGAGACGAAACACGTGTCGCAATATGGGTGTAAACTCAATAACAGTCAGAATTTGATCATCATTATAGAAGGTCGTAACGGTAGTCAACACACTAAATTTTTGAGGACTCACGCATGCTAATGGTAGCCGAAATTAAACAAAATAATATAAATCAATTAAGTAGTGAAATAACACCCTAATTCAATAAAACAAAAGGTACAGTTTGTCTATAACCCCACACTAGGCCATGCCTGTACCATGGACAACCCATCGTGTGACAAACTTCTTATGGGCCACCTGATGGAAAGTAGTAAGGGATATGTACATGCATAGCATCAGAAATTTTCTTGATTATTTCTTTTATTTTAAGTATAATTTAATTTTTATTCCATTTCAATATGAATATAAAGATATTAGTGCTATTTAAGTGCATGATAATTAATACTAATTTCTTTTTAATCTAGAAACCAGATCATTGGGTAGAAGCCATTTAATTTAAAAAAAGATGAAGTGGTGTGTTTAATATAAGATATTGTAATGTTTTTCTTGTCCCTCACGGGTCTAGGTAGCGAACTTTGAAAAAGGGCGAGCACAATAGATCTATGTAGGTCGCAGTGCTACAGGTGCTACAAACATCTGACAATAGCCCAAACAACCCAATAAAAAAAAATGTTTTTCTAAAACATATGTATGCAATATTGTCTTTCTATATAAATATACAAAAATATTGTTTTCTCATTGCTATACCCATCAGAATATATATATTTTTAATAGATGACAATGGAATAAATAATTTTCAATGGTTTATGTTGGCGGGGCACCAGTGAAGGATAACAAAATGATCTTAGGGTCAGGTCAGTTAGCCCACCAGGAATTTATCACAATGATATCCAGGGGGGATCATAAAAGGTAAACTGACATGGTACATTGCTAGCAACAGTCCACATTACAAAAAAAAACTGACAATATTCTTCTCCTGCTGCTCGGCATTGGAACTATGACAAAGCAAATGAGATGACTTCTCACAAAGTATTTTAAAGCTATATTCCCATATGAAGCAGACAGAAACCACCAATTACAACAAATCCCCTTCTCCCTGTAAAAGAGGATTATTTATTTAAGTTAAAAAAAACTAGTAATAACTACAGTTAGATAATGATATCATTAGCTGCAATCTATACATATAAACAAACTTGGAGTGTCTGTTTGTAATACTGAAATAATTGTTTTATACTACATGCATGTGAATATAAATACGGTACATATACCAAAATAATACTGTTTACAATTTTTGTCTGTCTGTCTGTCAGTCTGCTTGTTCCGGCTACTCTCTAAAATGGCTGGACCGATTTTAACGCGACTTTTTTGGGCAGGTGCTGATTTAATAAGGAGTAACTTAGACTACTTTTATTTTTAAAAAACATTTTTATTTTAGAAACATAAAGTTTAATTCCAATTGGATGAAGTCGCGGGAGCAGCCAGTACTGCATTAAAACATATTTATCTGATATGTAGCATTGTTATTGGTAGGCACTTAAAGAATTTACAAATGTCCACAAATTTCAATAGCAATAGATAATGCAGTGATTCTGTCAATGCATTATTTACAATAATAAATTTGCAACATACCTACATAATTATAAGAAATTTAAATAGCAACAATTTTAATTAACAAATTATAATGAGTGACTTTACCATATCAAGTTATGATAAAATGCATGCAAGTATGTAAATATTTTCATATATGTTTATCTATTTAAATGTTGATTCAATTCTATTTATGCATACACTAGGTAGCTTGGTAGGTGCAGAGGTGATATTCCATATAAGGGATAGGATATATGCCTGATAGGGTATATCCATCATACTCATGAACAAGTGCTGCTTGTAGGGACTGGTCTGCTCTAATCACTACAACTGATTTCCTCTTATTTAGTTGATTAACCAGTTGGTTATATATTTAATATTTTTTCTATTAGAGCATTTATTTGAATCAGTGCTAATTGGTAGTTTGTATTCACACGCTTAAACTTAAAATGTAAAGTAACAATAAAATTATTTGAAAGAGCAACAAGCAAGTTTCTTGGTCGTTCTTCTTGAGACAGCTTTTCGAATGAGCGGTAGATTATAAAAAATGTGATGACTATTGAAAAGTGCTTCAATGTAAGTTTATTTGTATAAATGATTTCCTATTCTATTCTATTCTATAACCCTGAGATAACACTCATATATTAGGTAGAATAGAAATTATGGCTATATTATATACATACAACATTCTAATAATCAGTAGCTAATATTCAAACAGATATAATTTTCAATATTTTTTATTAAATTAACTTTACATATTAGGTACTAATTCCAAAACCTAATGAGTATAAAAAAAATAGCATTATCCAAGTGCTAGGGAAATAAAATAGTGAAATGTGTGTGAATATTTATAATAAATAATTTTAGTACCGCGACAAAAAAATCAATAATCATTATGATTTATTAGTTTACTGCGAAATATTACGTCAACATCTAAGTAGATGTACAGTATAAGTAGTATAAGTTATAATTACTTAAGCATTGCACATCGAAATTAATAAGTAAATATTTCGCAACTGTACGTAATTTCTCAGTATGTAGACACGGACGTACCTTCACAAGTTTGTATCCATGTGAAGCACAGGCACTAATTAATTCCTTCCAATTAAGTTTCTGACTTTTCTTGCCCGACATCCAAATACCAATAGTTTTAGAGACCACGTCGTTCATTTTATATTTGTTAATAATTTACTAGACTTGTAAATTGTCCTACGATCAAGCACAGACTGGTAGCCGCATCAGTTGGTGATTCATATCAAAATGTATATAGTATACGCGTGATAATAAAGTTTTATGAATGTCGTGCATTTAGTAATACTTCGCTTTAGTTGCTACGTCGTGACAAAAAGTAATTATCTTTCGATCTCGAATGGATACTCGCGAAATAATGAAAGAAAACAACACGAAACAAACCAAATAGAATAAGAAATTACTATATACCGCGTTTACCAATGTTTATAAGCGTTTTATTTATAAAAAAAATAACAAATGTAAAGAATGAAACATCAACTTCACAGTGACAGTTGCAATTTATACGGTCATAATCATTCAATCATAGACCATATTGGGCAATGAAATTAATATTTTGTCTTTGTCGTTTGTCAGCCGGCATATGTTATTATATTTTTTTGAGGTTAGAAAGCAATTTATTTTATTTCCTTTCTGTTGCTATTTTTTTATTGCACTTTTATATTTATGGGAAAATCATAATAATATTGTTTTCAGATTGCATAGTTATTAATAAATAACCAAATGTCTGACGATAACATGATTCATATCAAAGGTAGATTTTTGGAATTGTTTTCCGAATTGGACGAAGTTGAAATAGATTATATAGATAAATGGATTTCTAGTCATTCTTACAAGAAAGGTATACTATTTTTAAGTTCAATTCTAAGATACGTTTTACTCGTATGCAGTATACAAATTATTTATTATCTTAACAAGTTACACAAAAAACTATAATTTAATAAATATATATTTTTCTATATTACAAAATATATATGTTGACTGTGTAACAATTATTAAAAGAAATAAGAAATATAATTTGTTCTTTTAAATTATAAAATGTAATGTTTTAGATTTGCAAAATAAATCAGCACTCAATAGTAGTGAGAAATGTTTAATAAAAATTGCGAATACCATCAAGAAATTAGTGCCTTTCGAAGCTGAATTGCCATCTGAGAACATTGTACCACCCACTATTGGAAACCTGGCCGACTGTACTAAGGAGTCCACCTGTCATATAGACGAGTTTCTTTATGACCACAATACAGTTGAAGATCTCACTCAACAGGGGAAAATTAAAAGACATTACTGTGTGGACTGTAATTCTCGCAATATCAAGGTACTTATCATTAATGTTATTTAGCTGTGGTTTCACCTGCATTAAATTTATTCTGATAAGTTATATGTTTATATGTCTTTGTTAGCCTATATGTTGTTCTGATGTATAAGCTATATTAGTGTAAAGATTCATCAAAATCCATGCAATAGTTTTTGCATGAAGGTGTAACAAATAACAATCCATACTTACAAACTTTCGTGTTTATAATGTTGCTAAGATTATTTGCAAATATCATAATGAAAAGATGACAATTTAAAAGTAAAACATGTTTTAGTTTCAAGGAAATGGCATGAGATTCTATTGGTACTGATATAATCTTGCCAAGAAATATATAAACACATCTATATATTTATGAACATATCAATAATACTGACAATGTCGGTGGTCAAGCGGTTTAGCACACCGCTTTACGACCGATGGTTGCGGGTTCGATTCCTCGCATGGCACAAACATTTGTATTCATGAGTATGATTGTTTGTATCAGTCTGGGTGTTTTCTATGTATAATATGTATGTATTTACAAAAAAAAAATATCTATGTGTTTGTATCAGTTATCTAGTACCCATAACACAAGCTTCAGCTACATTAACTTGGGACTAGATGGCACTGTGTGAATTGTCCTGAGATTATTATTATTATTATAATATTGATGTGCTGATATACTGGCCACATTTATAGTTCATACATTACATTTTTTAATAACTTCTAAGAATTTTATTATATATTTCTGTATACAGAATATTAATGTCTAATAAATAATGTGACAGACAACAACAATATCAAAGAACTTATCTATATTATTGACTTGTCAAAAATATGTAAATGATTGATTCCAACTTATTTGTAATGGTGGCTGTAATATTGTAATAGTGGTCTATTATTGCTCAGTAATTGCACTACTACAGTGAAAATTATAAATTTAAAAGTTAATTGTATTGGTTTGTTTGTCTTAAATATCATCTGTTTCTGTTTCAGGAATTAACTCTAATATCACATTCCTTGTCCAGACAGACCTTGTTGTATATTTTTAAATTCCTTCTCCCAAAAGATCTAGAAAACAAGCAATTTCTGGACCTAGGATCTAGACTAGGAGCAGTTATTTATGGGGTAAGTTTAAGGGAGTAGTAAAATAGTGGTTTTGGAAAATTCTACTTCAAAATATGTATATTTATTAAAAAGAATATTCATTACTAAATTAATATGAATGTGTTTTCTCCTTCTTCTATTATTATCTCTGTTAGAAAATTACTGTTTAAACGAATTTGTTGTTATTATCCTTTCATTATTTTACATGATATTTGTTCCAATTTATTTATATTAGTAAGTTAAAAATATGTTTTTTATGCACTAGCATTTAATCAATAGTAAAGGTTTTTTGTGTGGCATTTTCACTAATTTTAGGGTACTTATATGAAACTATTAATTGACCTAGAAAAGGACCAAGCTACTTCTTAATTCAATCTCATGCAGGTTATCACATTGGTAAAAATAAAATTTTTACTTTTCTCCAATCTGGAATAATATCTTACTTAAACTATAAGCTGATATTTTGAGTATGGTAACACATAATGGAGGGTCCATATAAATTTATGGGTATTTAGAAATAGCGTATTAAATATGTTAGTAGTACACAGTAGAAAACATATTAATTAATATACTTAGGAAATTTAAATCTTTTAATTAACTCTTGTTTTTATTTTTTCAGGCCTATTACCTTTCAAATGCGACAAACATTGTAGGTGTTGAAATAAATAAAGAATGTTGTGATCTTCAAGATACTATTGTTGGTCAGTATTCAATGGATAATGACAGGATAAAAATAATTAATGCAGATATTTTAGACAGAAGTGATATAGTGCAGAATTCTGATATTATAGTAATCAACTGTTTAGATCATTTTGTGAATGTAGACATACATAGAGAGATATGGTATTTTCTCAAAAAGCACTTAAAGAAAGGAAGTTATGTGATAACTGTTAGAAGTATAGCTGATACACTGATTGCTCTAGATATGTTTGAAGAATTATCCAACTGGCTTAGCATTAGTAAACCAAATCAAATGGAAAATGAAATGTTTTTTGACATGGAAGATTGTAATGAGATTTATCTATATACAGTAAATTAAAATAATAAAGATATATTTATATTACATTGCTATTTCTTTATTGAACTTCTGACCGTCAGTTATGATCGACGAAATGTCATCATCGGATCATATTATAGGATGATGAAGCAACATAATTTTAAAGTATTGATTGGTAGATAGGTAGATAAATCCTAGAAAAAATGTTTTAGATAATAGAATATATTGTATGGACGTCACATCGTTACACACACAGTTACAACATTCATATGTTGGATTTGTACACTATCTGATATCCTGTGATACAAAAACCATACATTAAATATTTACAACATTCACACATTGAGACAAACGCACGCATTTAAAAGTTTTAAAATATTTTTTCTATCGGAGTTAGGATATTATATTTTATTTTCTATAAAGTAAGACAAGATTCTGAATATAATAATAGCACAGATAACATAATATTACATACAGATACCCCATCCCATACAAGAAAATGGTTCCTTCCTAACTCGGGCTATTCTTCGGGCTATTTTATTTCGCCACCGTAGCCGCTAGATGTCGCTAGATCTGAAGCAGTTCGGATTACTAGTGGGTGCTTAGTAACAAAGCATGAAAATAGATGGCAGTGAATTCAGTCTACATGACATCTGTTTTGCAAAGATATGTATATAATAGATATGTAGGTAACTGTATCGTGTACCTCATTAGGGACGATTCAAGATTCAATGTAAATGTGTAGGTATAATATCGTTAGCCGACACTCTGCAGATATGGCTTATGTGCCAATGTATATACCTATTGTGTTATGGTTTATTTTACATTCCATGCCTATTTTTTTGATATGTTGTAACGAGTCTGCGCTATACGTATAGCCTGATTTTGATACGTTTATACTCGTACGTATCAAAATCGGCTATACGATTTTTATTTCAATCGTTATATGTATGAGACTGATTTTAGCTACAATTAATTTACTGGTTTACCTCATGTATTCTACGATGTACCCCTCTTTTACCTAATGAGAATTCCGCTATATCTTATATATAAATTTTGTATCACAGTGTTAGTTGCCATATTTCTCCCACATTTTGATGAAATTTGATATGTATACTTCCCAGGTCTGAGGTAGGGTTGTTATCTATTTTTTATACCCCTAAGTCATAGGGGTGGCCTACCCCGAAAAAATATTTTTTTGTATTATGGACAATTTTTTATTTATTTATAATGTTACATTGAAAATACATACACGCCTAAATTTTCACCCGTCTTTCACCAACCCCTATTTTTAATAGCGATATTCTTACAAATATTATAAATGCTAAAGTAACTCAGTCTGTCTGTTTGTCTCGCTTTCACGCCAAAACTACTGAACTGATTTAATTGAAATTTGGTAGACAGATAATGTAGACCCTGAGAAAGGCTACTTTTTAATGCGAAAAAGTATTGAAAGGGGAAATGAAAGGCTATATGAGGATATCGTAATTTTTAAAGTCAGATCTTGTAAGATTAAGTGAACAGGGTCGGTCTAGGTTTTTCATTATTAGAAATGTGTAACGGGGTAACACGTTATTTAGTGCGAAATTGTGTATATTACAATAAAATTTAACGAGAAAATATTATAATGATATCACTGGGACACTCATTTCCTTACTACTATATCGTCCGTTAGTCGCGAACTTTCTGGAAGCACGAGAGGCGCTATCCTATTGGTCGGTCGGCGCGGTTACCGCGCGTAGATGAGTAGATGAAGTACTTAGACGAGTCTCACGGCGCCGCAGCGTAAGTACTTACTATACATACGTAGTATACATATGGGTATTACAAATGTTTTTATTACTAGTAATATTACTCTGTTATCTAAGCAAGTAATGTGTGCTTATTTTGAACTTGATAACATTCTGAATTACTCGTATATCTTTCAATATCTTTAGCGGTATAAACCAGGTTATGTACTACTACTAGTATTGTTAGTGAGGGATAAAGTTGATGAACAAAAATAAAACAATATTCGTATTAAAAATATATTCATCTAATATTTTTGGCATTATTTTTAAGTTTCTTCCAAATATAAGGGGTCTGACATGGGGTGTTATGTACCTACATTAAAAAATACTTTTTGAAATGTATGAAAGAAACGTATTGTATGAAATTTTTGAAATGTGTGAAATGTATGCACCTACATTAAAAGATAATTTTTGAAATGTATGAAAGAAATGTATTGTATGAAATTTTTGAAATGTATGAAATGTAAGGACCTACATTAAAAGATAATTTTTGACATGTATGAAATGTATGAAAGAAATGTATGTACCTACATAAAAAGTTCATTTTTAAAATGTATGAAATATATGAAAGAAATGTATGTACCTACATTAAAATATAATTTTTGAAATGTATGAGATGTATGAAAACAATGTATGTACCTACATAAAAAGTTCATTTTTGAAATGTATGAAATGTATGAAAGAAATGTATGTACCTACATTAAAATATAATTTTTGAAATGTATGAGATGTATGAAAACAATGTATGTACCTACATAAAAAGTTCATTTTTGAAATGTATGAAATGTATGAAAGAAATGTATGTACCTACATTAAAAGATAATTTTTGACATGTATGAAATGTATGAAAGAAATGTATATACATTAAAAGATAATTTTTGACATGTATGAAATGTATGAAAGAAATGTATGTACCTACATTAAAATATAATTTTTGAAATGTATGAGATGTATGAAAACAATGTATGTACCTACATAAAAAGTTCATTTTTGAAATGTATGAAATGTATGAAATAAATGTATGTACCTACATTAAAAGATATTTTTGACATGTATGAAATGTATGAAAGAAATGTTTGTACCTACATTAAAATATAATTTTTGAAATGTATGCACCGTACAATAACAATACACGTTAAACATCATACCACAGAGTCATACGCAAGTTAAAAACAAACTGCTATGATATTAATGAGAAAGGAAAATAAACTTTATGGTATTCGAGTTAGGGTCGATTTCTCTCTTTTTTTTAAAACTATTTTAATCTTACCAGTTGCCAGTATTCGAAGACAGCTACGATTCGTACTCGATATTTTAAATTATTATGTAATCGATTTTTCAGTACAAATGTAAATAACCAACGACACTAATAATGTACTACTATATTCCGTTCTTTGAAACGGAATACTGCTATACTTAATACAAAATAATGAAAATTTACTGTTCACAACGACTCATTAAAAGCATCATCGAATAATGCGCTGTAATAAAATCCTGTTATCGATTTTTTAAAAAAATCGATAATACATGTATTTATTTTTAATATGACAACACTTCATACATAAGTATTATTGGAAATAGTATTATTTGCTTGTTCGGCTATTTTTAATTTACTTAAACTTTTTTTATATGTTTAATTTACAATAATAATATATTAAGTGCTTATTATTGGAAAATATAAAAAAGACATTTAATTAGGCCGATACAAATGACAACAATGCCATCTATGAAAGCATTTTGAAAACATTGAGCCCCGTATTAGCACTGATTAAAGTGTAATTAAGTACTGGAAAATAACAAAATGAGTAAATATATGAAAATTACTTTTCTAAACGCATTATTTCATTTTAACATGTATATATATATTTTTAAAAATGGATTAAACTATTTTGAAAACACAGTTTTGTTTTTTAAAACGTTTGCAAAACTATGAAGAATTCCATCGATACCAATCACGCCATCTATATGCAACTTTTAGCAATAATAATGGCTATTTCCTCATTGAGTGCCACTGATAATAGTAATGTATCTATGGTATCATTATGAAGTAGACATTAATAATTCCAGAGCCCTGAAAAACAAAGAGTAGAATAAAATATAAAATTTTAATCTATGGTCACGTTCTTCATACGTAGGAACTTTATCACTCATTCAGTTCCATTCATTTTCATTACTTTATCAGATAATTCTTTAATCTTTATTTACTATTTTATTATAATTTTGAAAATTAAATATATGAGCAACAAAATTACATATGTAAATTATTTATATAAAGTTATTATACAAAAATGTGGCACGAAGCAAGAAAACAAGAGCGTATGATACGCGGTATGATAGTGGACTATCGACGGAGGGCCGAGCGTCGAAAGGATTTTTACGAAAAAATTGTAAGATTCGTTTTAATTCGAATTATTTAGCTACCAGTTAATATCTTGGCTGCTACATATTGTTTCTGGAGAATAATGCAATAGATAAATTCTGATTTAAATTTTTTTCTTGCGCCCTTGTAGAAGGCAGAGCCTACGCAGTTCTTACAATTGCACGGGCGACCATGCAGGATTCACCTGGATCCTGCCATCGCGGCTGCCGGCGAAGGCCCTGCCATAATGTAAGTCATTGACCTCGATATCATAGAAAAATGATTACTGTTTATAATATTTGACATTAATCTTGCTTTTACGGGAAGTTTCCGCTACCAGGCGACTAAATGCTGGAATAATATCCCTCCACCTATAAGAGCCATTACTTCAAAACAGGTATTTAAGAAAAAGATAAAACTTTTTCTACTAGACAATTCCTAGCATTTATATATTATTATTATTTTTTGAAAGCCTTTGGTCGCTTAGGTAATGGTCTGCGTCAACAGTTATTTATATTTGAATTTATATACATTTTGATTTATTTATTTTATTATTTTTTTCTTCTATTATTTTTATTAAGGATAAGCTTAATTCAATTTTGGTAACATTAAGATTGTTGAGTGAATCTGTATAGTTTATCGGGGTCACCACTGGGCTGCTACTGAAAATCAGTGTTTTGCTCGCTGAGCAAATTGTTCACTGAGTAGCTCAACCCTTTCGTATTCCTGTGGCACCTAATATATATTTTAATGTTTATTTTATGTTTTTTATTTTATGTGGAAGTTAAAGTATTATGTGTTGTATTTTTTTTTTTTATAATTATTTACTATTCTTATGTGTTATTTGAATTTTGTTTGTACTATCTTTGTTATCGGGATACGAATAAAGATTTTTATCTATCTATCTATCTATCTATCTTAAGCACAGTTTCATTAAATTTACACCATTATATCAAAATCTGTCAAAAATTTAATAATAACTTCGATATTCAATGTTGAAATGTAAACATACTTGGAAATATACTGGACATTATGTAAATGTATTTATTATCTATTAAAAAGGAAGTGATATTTCCAATTTAAATAGATGTTTTTAAATATGTGAAGGCAATTATAGTAACCAAGGCCACAGAAATGCAACAAATACATTAGTTTTTCTTTTTTTTTATGTATATTGAATGGCATACAAATGTTGCTCTACTGGGGAGAATGCCATATAAGCTGTTCATAGTATACCTAATGTGTTCACTAATTCGAGTGACCCAACTAGAGATGCCACAATTATCTGTAATATCCATATTCCACTGTTTAACTGTCACATCAAACATAGCTTAAAGCAAGCTGCATAGCACCTAAAGTATATCCCTTTCAAAACTGCCCTGCATTTGCAATTCTAGTCATAAGATATAATTTAAAACTATTTTATAATTTCCGATTAAAAACAATTGTATTCATTTGTTCACTTATAAACTACTCAATTTAGTACTACTAATTTGTTTTGAAAAGTTTAAGACTTCTAGCCTTTTTTTAGAGTCTCCTTATTATACTTTAGAGACATGGAATTTACCAAATCCATCGGATGAAAAAAATAATTCAGGTCTGAAAGGGTTATAAGACCAATTATCCACACAGACAACTTTGTAAAATGTCTACTCTCAGGTCACTCATGCATACCTTTTGATACATGCATCTTATGAAGATGAACATGAAGTAAATTAAACACTTTTTTTTTGATTATGTTAGCTATTAGCTGCTCTGTAAAAATTTATATATATATATATATGATTCATAATATATTCAAACACGAAGTTAATGGTAGAAGGGTGAAAATTTTCTTTTTTTCTTTATATATTTTAATGCTATATGTTTTTTTTGCTTTTTGTCCTTTTGTATCTTGCAAGTGGTTTACATTTATAATGCTAATGCTTGCAATCGGCTCACTAAGTGTTTAACAGTTTTTTTTGTGGATTTTTTGACCGAAGAGAACTGTACCTCCAGTGAGGAAACTGTCTCATCAGTGAATAAAATCGTATGCATGCATTTTAGTGCTATATAATAAGAAAATCATTGAAATAATACAGATTTTTTTTAGGGTGGGGCACTTTTATTACTTAGGGTATAAAATATATACAACCTACAGACCTAACCTAACCTAACCTCAGAACTATCCAATATACATACAAAATATCATCTAAATCAGTTCAGATGTTTAGGATTCTATTGTAACAATGTGATATGAAATTTTTATACATTAAGATAATAATGATATTCTAGGATGCAGTGGCAAGGTGACCCAAGCAATCTGATAGATCGCTTTGATGTCCGAGCACATTTAGATTACATCCAAGAGGTGAAGAATCCTGATGTAGCTCCAGAAGAGCTTAGCCCCGAGGAAAGACAATGTAACTATGAAAGATACAGAATTCTGGCTCAGAATGTGTTTCTAGGAATAGGTAAGTGTGTTGTAGTGTATTCAATTTACTCCTCTGTTCTACCCTCTGTCCTCATTCAAATGAGGATTGAAGTTATGATGGTCTCAGACAAGGTTTGACCTTCTTGCAGTGCTCTCAAACATGTATAACACTGGCTGTGTCTGCTTCACCCGCTTCAAATTTGTACCCTATGTATTATTCTGATATATAAGCTAGATAAAGAAGCCTTTATTTCTGTACTATTATACATTTTTTTTCTACATTTATGTTCATTCATTGTATTATATTATACTATAAATTTATTATTATTATATATATTTTTTTACTATTATTATTTGTTAAGTAGTTTAATTTTTTTATGTTTAATTATTAATTTCATTTTCTATGTTATATCCCGCAGTACAGAGTACCTTATGGCAAAGGCCTCCTCTAATTCCTTCCAGTGTATTCTATTTTGGGCTGCTCTTCTCCAGTAGGGGCCTGCTGTCAGCTTGATTTCATCCTCCCAGCGTCTCTGTGGTCTACCTCTTTTTCTTTTTGTTTCCCTTGGATACTATTCAGTTACACAAGTATGATATATAAGCTATAATACTTTAAAGTTTCGTCAAAATCTGTTCAGTAGTTTTTGAAAGAGTAACAAACATATCTATCCATACTCACAAAGTTTTGCGTTTATAATATTAATGAGATTCATCATGCACTATAACTACTATACAATGCTGTATAAGTCTTTCCATGGATGGAAGGCCTAAGAATCTGTCGCACCCTCCACTGTAAAAACCAGCTAAAGTATAGCTTGAGAATAGTTTGAAAAAAAATAAGCATCTTCGAGTGATCTTGGCGATTTGGCTTAGTATAATTTTTATGACAGTGTTAGTCACTTTCCCAGCATGGTGGTTAGAGTAGAAAAAAAGTTTATTTTAAAAATACTAAAATATGACCACTATATTTAACATACTATATAATAGTACTAGTGACTCACCCTGGCTATGCACGTGCAATGCTGATACCTACCTACTACAGAATGTCCTTATAAACATAGTTTACAGTTTTTTTTTCAGCAAAAATAACCGCTATAAAATCCGTTTAACTTATATATTTTGTTTTCAGGCGAAGACAAATTCCTCCAACAGCTGGCAATAGAAGAGCAATTCGGAGTAACGATAGAAGAGAAGGAAATGCAGAAGGAGAAGTTAAACGAAAAGAAAGGCACCGGTGCCGCCATAGGCTACAATTATAACGATCCAGGCGCCCAACCCTCTTGTTCTAACGGTAGATTCAGCATTACTGTTAAACTGCGAGTGCTTGAAGGCTAATCGGGGTTATGGGGTAGTTTAAGGACATTGTTTGGGTAATTTCATGGCATTGAGTATTCAATTACAGGCCCGGAAGTTAAAAAGGTGGAGCAAAAAGATTCGGACGATGATTCCGATTTGGAAATCATTGATGTGGATTTGAGTATTGATGTCAACAAAATGGAGGCTTCACAGGTCAGTTTCAATGTTTCTGTTATATTGGATTCCTTTAAAAGACAATTTCATATTCCTTTAGATTACATATCTGTAATAATTTGTTGCTCTATATATGACTAGCTGACCTACGCAACTTTGCGTTTCATTTCCCCACCCTTTGCAATATTTTTCATTGCAGCTCCTCTCCTATTGGTCATAGCTAAATGTTACATAGCTTAAAGCCTACCTCGAAAAATTGACTATTTAACACAAAAAAAAAATTTCATTTCGAACTAGTAGTTCCTGAAATTAGCGCATTCAAACAAACAAATTCTTCAGCTTTATAATATTAGTATATTAGTATAGATATGCTTTATTGCGTCTTACCAATCCAATTAATTATCTATTAACATACAAATAGGTTACATTTTACCCTGCTCTATACATGTATAGACCAGGATTACAGTTACATGTAATGGACTTAAAAGGTCCTTTTAGTATTTTGCTTTTTTATCACTTAATGACAGAGTCCAAATTAATGTTATCTTTGGAATAAATATACTATACTGTATATAATATATATAATGTATATATGCATCATTAATATAATTTTAGCACAAATTATTTTGTGGTAAATATAGATATTTACCTCTCTCGTATGTTGTAATAGCAGGACACCAGTGAAGGGTAAAAGAATGGAATGATATCAGGTCAAATAATCCATTAAGATACATTAATACCTTTGTAAAAATAGTGGTAAATAATACTACTATTTTAGGTAGGTACCCTACCCTAAGGTAGTCTTTGTACAAGTTACTCTGCTCTATGGATGTGATGATTATCTTTGTCCTGTCTTCATTTCAGCTGCCAATTAACTCGCTTTGTGTTTTGAAGGGTATAATGTTTCCTTTTTATATTACATCAGCTGACTTGATTTAGTAATAAAAACGATTCCATCTTTTAAGTTGCATCGAGTTACGCACTGTAAATCAAATATCATAATACTTTTTATGTTATTTCCCTGGACAATTCACACAGCGCTATCTAGTTAGAAGCTAAGTAGAGCTTGTGCTACTCCCATAACTAGATAACTGAATTATATACTTAGATATATATATTTTTGCTATAACATAGCAAACAAATATTACATATACCTATAGCAAACATTAGGACCAGGAAGGATCCAACCTGTGGTATAATACTAATAAAAATTGGTTAAGTAGATTAGATGCGAAATTTTTAACTAGATGACATTCTGTCTTTTGGAGAAAATAAGAGACCAAACAATCTATTCATGAATACAAAAGCTTGTACCGTCCGAGAAAACAACCCGCGACCATCGGAAGTAAAGTGCATGATGACGATGATGATGCTGATTACGTTTAGGCATGGTAGTAACACTTCATTAAGTACAGGCGCACGAGTTGAATGCAGTGGGCCCTCAGTTCGGGATGGCCGGCTGCGATCTATTCTCATTCCTCACTGGGGACGCCGATGACGCGGAGCATCACAAGCAGTTGTTGCGAGAGGAGAAAGAGAAAGCTATGTTCTCTGGGAGGAAGAGTAGGAGAGAGAGACGAGCTCATAGGTGAGTGTACTGTGCTATAGCAGATTTATCAATCAACTTTGAAAATATATTCAATTCATTATAAGGTTCCGAATTTAAAAGATGAAATGGAACTCATTTTTCAATTACCCAATTCCCAATTCAATGGTACTTTTTGTAATGATTAATTTATATAAAATTTCTGCTTTGTTCATGTACATTGTCTCGAATTATGAAGAAATAAAAATAACGTCGATTTCGATCTGACCGCGTGGATATTTACACCGCCTGCAGACATATTCATAAGCGTGCGGTCGAGTTATTTTTTTTTCCCATATTCGTCCATCTCCTTTTCAGTGATGGAACAGGCAAAGATCCTTAGACCGTACAGCCTAGTCTACTTTTAAACTTCTTCATATTCGAACAAGCGATGAGGCCAAAGGCCAATTCTTATGTATGTTTATTTATTATGTTTTCATTCGTGTTCAAAATTTAAGTCTCATCCGTAGTCCATATCCTTGTATGCGTGCGGTCGAGTTAGTCTCCCAGATTAAAAACAGTCATAGGAGCGGTGTTGATCAAAGCGTTACGTGGTCAGGGACAAGAAGCTGGCGGTCCGCGCGTCGAGTCCGCCGCACTACGCACGTGTGGGCGGCGCCGGGCCGGCGGCGGGGGCGGCGGGGGTGGCGGCGGCGGGGGCGGGGGCGGGGCGCGGGTCCCGCAGCGCCAGCAGCGCGTCCCCGGAGCCGGCGGGGGACGTGCAGTTCATCACCTCGTTCGGAGGCGACGACGACGACCCCCACGCAGGTCACCGCACACTCCTATCTCGTGTATTAGTAGTGGACACTACAGTAAACCCAATATATATAATAATAGATATTGAATTATAATTAGATTCGTAGATAGGGCGTCAATAAAAGAGGTAAGTAAAATATGTTATATTCACAATGAAGTCTAAATTTACAGTCCTTTATTTTTTATTGTTCTAACCGTGACAAGGAATGTACAATTTTCAAATTTATATTTTCCTTATATAAACTAAAGAGTTATTAACAATTAGCTTTACAGCGCACGCTGTTTTTTCGGGAAGCACGATCCCTAGATCGTTCATGTTGTTTTTAGTAGTCTTAAAGTCGGCCACCACCCTACTTCCGATGGTCGAGGGTTCGATTCCTCTCACGATGAAACATTTGTGTAATGAACATTGTAGCAGCACGATTGTCTCAGTCTGGGTGTTTTCTATATATTTATAAATACATCTAAGTATCTTTATCAGTTTTCTAGTAGTCATACCAGAACTTCTGTTAGCTTATGACTAGATGGCGTTATGTGAATTTTCCCGAGTTATTATTTATGTATTCAGAATAACAAACAAGTTGATGACCCACCTGACACACCTATATACATCAACCGCATTGCATACATCACAAAATACATTGTGAAATCAAATTTTATACATTATTGTTTCTGTAATCTAATTTTTCTTACAATTTCACTGCCATATCTAACCCTCTAAAACCGAAATATTGTTTAAAAAAAAAGTTACTGAATTCTTTTAAAAATATGTAATTACTTTTAATAGAGACACCACCAAAACCGCTGTATGCCGACAAATTGAAAAACAACCTGAAGAAAGAAATGCTGTATTCAGAAGTCGCTCGGAAATCTAAACCTAGGTACCTAACCTATAACGTAGCATATTTGCAACCAATTGTGATTATGGCATCACTTGTATCTTTATTCCATGCTTTAAGTTTATTTTTTTGGTAATAAACATCACTTGGTCATGAAAAGAACCTAGGAATCTTTATAATATTATAAACGTTTGTAAATATGGATGTTTGTTACTCTATCACGCAAAAAATACCGAACGTATTTTGATGAAACTTTACATAATATAGCTTATGCATCGGAATAACACATAGGCTATATTTTCTAATGTAAATTTAACACGAATAAAACCGCGGGCACAGTTAGTATAAAATAGATATAATTTTTAGTTGTTTTTGATGTGTTCTTTATGTTACATAAGTTCCAAAATTGCTTATGCGATAAGACCGCCTATTGTACGTTATTACTTTGTTCTTTATAATTTATCTCTAGTGCAATAAATAGTTAATAAATAAATTGAAAATAAATAACTTTCTCTACAGACTGTCCCCATACGAGGAGAGGCCCCAGATCCGACCCCAGATGGGCCCGCACTTCCCGCCGCGTCCACGCACGCGTTCGCGGTCTTACTCTCGTTCCCGATCTCGATCGTTTTCCCGGCGGCGATCCCGCTCGTACTCACGTTCGCGATCCGCGTCGCGCTCTCGATCACGGTCCTACAGCCCGTACAGATCGCGATCGCGTTCCGGAACGAGGAACTACAGGGATAAACGGTCTCGGAGCCCGGACAAGTTTGTATTCTCATATATTCAAAGTTTAAATACAGAAGAAATAAAATTATTATTAGGACAAACGATTTCGCAGCCTGGAGTCAACCTGGATTAATAAATCTATTTGGGGTTATTAATCCAGATTTAATCTTATTGTGTTTTTATATTTGAGCTCAAATAAATTAGTGCTGGTTGGTAGTTTGTATTCACACGTTTCGACTTGTAAAATGTGAACTTACAAGGATTGTTTAAAAGAACAACACAAGTTTCTTGCTTGTTCTTCTTGTTATGAGAGAGCTTTCCGAATAAGCGTTAGATTTAAAAAAAAATGTTGTCTATTCAAAAGTGCTTAAATTAAGTTTATTTGAATAAATGATTTTCTATTCTATTCTTAGTGATTGAAACTGTTCATGTGTGTAGGCTGTGATAACCATCAAATGGACTCTCAGATTATTTGCCATTCATAAAAAAAAACTAATATTAAAATGGTCTAACTAATGATATTGTGTTTACTATTTCCAGCCAAGCCAGTGGCTATGGCAAGCATAATTACTCCAGATCGATGTCCTTCGACAGGTAAGATGTTTGACCGTTTTATAAAGGGATTTTGCAACGAAAATGGTTCTTAAATAACATACATAAAATATTCGCAATTTTTGTTTAATTGTGGTAAGTTTTTGTATGTAACAGTCTACAAGAGGCAATTCACTATGAAAACAGAGAAGTCTCTAATAAAATTAAATTTGTTTTTAAGTCGATTTATATAATAGCAAATTATTAAATGTGTAATATAGTTAAATTATTTTATATAAAATGTAATTATCATATAATGTAATAAAAAAAAAACTGAAGTTTTGGTGGCAAAAACCCAGTTACGCTTGGAGTTATCGTGACCTAAAATTTACTTCTCGTATATTTGTTAGAAACAAAAACTACCAGGCTAAATGCATAGTATAATGCTTTTAAATTGTCTAAACACTGTTTTTTAAAAATTGTTGTTTTTGTGTCAGTTTCTATTTTTATTTTATTTATTTCGTTATCATTATAATAACATAATAATAATAACGAAAACAAGTTTCATTCAAGTCGGATTCCATTTTTAAATATTATTTCTTTACTTTTTTTAAAGCTAACAACTCCCAAAAAAGTTTTATATATGTACGATTTTATAGTTCCATGTTTTAAGATGTTTATCTACTGCTAATTGTGTTTGTATTATATAGGGTGTTTGAATTAATGGAGCTATATATAATATATAATATGTACAGCGGCGAACGCAGTGAACAGCGGCCACCAGTGACCCGGTACTACGGCCGTAAGAAGGAAGATAAGTCTTCCAGCGAACTCTCCGAGTCTGAATCCAGCGGTTCCCCTGATGATGACAAAAACAGGTTCATTTACAATTGATTTTTTCTGTTATGTGTTTGTGCATATAATGGAACTGTTCGCGCCATTTATAAACATATCAAGTGGTATGGTATTATTCCACATATCCTAATCCATAAACTTATAAGTAGTTATATATTTAACTTACTTATTACACCACCTTGCTTCTGATGGTCGAGGATTTAATTACGTGATTGTGTTATGGGTACTAAACAACTGATGCAAGTACTTATATACATTGTTTTGTACATGGAAAACAAACAAATATACTCATGAATAGAAATGTATCCGCGACTATCGGAAGTACGGCAGTGTGTTAAACCGCTAGACCACCGAGGCTGACAAATATTAAGAACTAGAGTAATCTTATTTCAACGGCAATTTTTTTTTATATAATTGGAATGACAAAAATGTTGCCCGACTTGATAGAATGGTATAACCGTCACTTATAGACATGGCAGCATCATCATTACATCAGGGCAGACAGCGACAGCGACTTTGTTTTATACTATATAATGATAACATACATAAATGCAATTGTGGAATCTTGTTCTAAAAATATCCTCTATTTTATATTATAGAAATATATATATATATATATATATATATATATATATATATATATATATATATATATATATATATATATATATATATATACACTAGAACTAAAGTCAAAAATTTTTCATTTCAGATCAGATCGGGTTGGCAATAAATCCAACAGTAACCAGAATCAGTTACGATTCTCTGGATCCAGCTCCAAAGTCAGTAAGAATCATTTGCTTACACTGTATGCTTACAATTTAGCACTTTTTTGCCAGTAGTTGGCCATAGTGGCAGCGACCGCCCGCTTACATTACAATGTTGGTATTTACCAGTTACCGTTGTTACAATATTAACTTTTTTTTCGGAAAAAACCGGTATACCGGATCTAGTTTGTTTTTTTTCTATGCAAAAGCATTTGTAATCTATTTTCCCACTAACACTACCAATTTAAAAAAAAAACATGTATGTCGTCAATTTCTTTTCAAACTGAAATAAATGATAATATTTTATCGAATTAGGTGTTATTTTAAGTCCCATTTCATTGCTTAATGGATTTATATTATTTTGTTTAATTTCTCTACTATTAACATGTGTGAGACCACAAATATTCAGTGCGGAAACCTGACCACCGCTACTGGAAGCTTTACGACCTTCTCTATTATTGATCAAATTCCGAACGTTATTGGATTTACGCCTATATTGCGACACTTGTGTCGCCTCTAAACGAGGCATCATCAGGCAATGAATCGAGTTTGGATATAGCTTGGAAGTCTAGTGTTGGCTGTCTGAACTGTAGCGGCGGAAAGGTTTCTTTATGGAGGATAATGGAATGGTGCACCCGCCTGCACTAATGGTTTACGTTGACGAGGATCCAGTGGAGGATGATAAGATGAACACGCGGTCAGGTCAGTTAGCCCATCGTGACAGATTCACCAAGAACTTATCGCGAAGGTTTCCAGAGGGAACCGCTTGGAGACTTGACATGGTATATTGCTAGCAATAAGATCATCAGTCCATATTAATAACAATCGCCTTTCCCCCCGCGGTGGTCAGTTTTCCATACTGAATATTTGTGGTCTCACACATGCTAATTGTAGCGGAATTAAACAAATTATATAAATCTATTAATTAATTATGATGAAATTACATTCGAATTCAATACCTGATTTAGTTTTAGATTTTTATACTTACTATGCAAAAAAAGGGAAAACACATGTCTGACTATTTACTGCATTTCAACTTATTAAGTTTTCGAAATCAGAATTTCGATTCGAACACACGAATGCACGCATTTATTTAAATAGGTACACATTACAGTCAGTTAGTGCATTTTAGAATTGTACACTACTATAGGACCGTACATTAATCGCGTGACGCTCGAAGGGGGAAATGGGTTCGGTAAAAATCACGAAAATTCACAAGGTAAAGGGGATTCGGGAAAAATCACGAAATATCACAAGGGGGTGTAGTAAGATGTCACGTGTTTTTATTTTTCTAAACCAAAAAGCATGCGAGCGTAAATTTTCTAGAATAAACTTACATTATACTTTATACCTGTATGTGAAGATGATATTCTAAAAATTTTAAGATTCCTTGTAAGTACTAAATAAATACAAGTGTATTTACTAGGGACAGGGGTTAGTCTTAATTGTTTGAGTGCTATGGGTTTCAAGTATGCCTAAAAAAGAAAAATGATTTTTGTGTCATATAAGAAAGAAAGGGTTTTGCAAAAAACTCTGTGTCTCTGCAAAAAAATGTCCAATTATAATGATGTCTTCCCTACGAAGCACTAGACGGCAACTGATTTTGGGAGCGTTATCACACTCCTGGTAATTTTGGGACTGTAACGGTTAAACCTCACCACGAATCCGTAATGGGGACGGGGCTGGAGGATTAAAAATGCTAAAATATCACGTGATTAATGGACGGTCCCTATATAATGCACCTTACGGATACATTAATACCAAACCAAGAACTACATGCATCTTGGCATTTCCCATCACATATATATATATATATACATATATTATTATCATTTTCAAAATGTTCAATGTATATAATACATTTTAAATGGTACGCTATGAAATAGTACTTATCCGGAAATCGATATTAAAATAAAAACAAATTCAAACAGGACCTTTAATTAATAGTCTAAGATTACAAATCTATACAGCAAGAACTCCCTTATGCCTATTTAATATGTAATCCAGTCTTTCTAGACTTCCATCGTAGATACAAAATCAAAGCACTAAAATGACAGTGGCACAGTCAATACACTGACGACTTCTAGAATATTCTTAATATTGTGATATGTATGTGTCTACTTTATAGTTTTTTCTTACCTACACTATTTTAATTATTTACCCAAATATTGCCTTAAATAATGCTTCCTTATCTTAGACATGTCAAAACTAGACAATCCATAATAAAAATCTATATTTTAATTTTGTAAATATATTTGTAAGAATACCTGATATATACAGGGCTACACCTATTGTAAAACGGTGGCTCTTTTATGTTATTAGTTGTAAACGTATATTTTTTCTACAGGGTGCTTCGCGTGACACGTTGTCGATAAAAGAAAAACTCAAGAGGAAAATGCAAGCACAACTGACAAGGCAATGTGAGTTTTGTAAATCCTTACTAATATTATAAATGCGAAAGTAATTCAGTCTATCTCGCTTTTACGCCAAAACTACTGAACCGATTTAAATGTTTTAATTGGGAATTTGGTACACAGATAGTTTAGACATGAGAGAGAACAGACTATTTTTTATTGCGAAAAAAATAGTTGTAAGGGATTGAAAGTTTGTATGGAGCTATCGTTATTTTTAAGCCTTAAGGTTGAAACTTATATTTTAGGCTGTTGATTAAATATAAATTTAGATGGGTTGTAAGGGGTTGAAAGGGGAGATGAAAGTTTGTATGGAACTATCGTTATTTTTAAGCCTTAAGGTTGAAACTTATATTTTAGGCTGTTGATTAAATATAATAAGAGGGTTGTAAGGGGTTGAAAGGGGAGATGAAAGTTTGTATGGAGCTATCGTTATTTTTAAGCCTTAAGGTTGAAACTTATATTTTAGGCTGTTGATTAAATATAAATAAGAGGGTTGTAAGGGGTTGAAAGGGGAGATGAAAGTTTGTATGGAGCTATCGTTATTTTTAAGCCTTAAGGTTGAAACTTATATTTTAGGCTGTTGATTAAATATAAATTTAAGAGGGTTGTAAGGGGTTGAAAGGGTAGATGAAAGGTTGTACGTGCTTGCACAGCAAACTATAAACTTGAAATTAATACTTTAGACTGTTGATTAAATATAAGTAAAAGGAAAAGGGTTGTAAGGGGTTGAAAGGTGTGATGAAAGTTTGTATGGAGCTATCGTTATTTTTAAGCCTTAAGGTTGAAACTTATATTTTAGGCTGTTGATTAAATATAAATTTAGATGGGTTGTAAGGGGTTGAAAGGGGAGATAAAAAAGTTTAGTAAAGCTTAGAAGCTTGGAACTTATTTTTTAGGTTGCTAATTAAATATAAATAAATATGACATTTAAAGTTTATTAAAATGTTATACTCACACTTACTCATTAGCATATACTTACCCATTTTTTATGAAAATTGTGCGGCAATGTGGTGCCTTAGCAGTTTAGCATAGCGCTTTACTTGTAATCGTCGCGGGTTCGATTCCTTGCGTGGTACAAACATTTGTATTCATAGTTATTTAGTGCTGTACTTATGACCTGAACTGTACTAGATCTTGGACCCTATAGGTAAATGAAACCCAAGGATAGTACTGGATATGTGTATATTGCGTTTTAAGAATGTATTCCTCTCTATTTCGCTCCCTGATTACAAAACGAGTTATAACTATAACATAACACAAAAATATCTTGCCACCGCGATGTAGAAATTATACATATATGAGACAGCGACATCTAGTTCACTTTTCGGAACTATTATATTGTGCTCTTAACTAGATTAGCTTAAACATACCGCCCACCAAGGACATGCTGAAGAAATGTCCTTAACTAAACCGCTGAACATAACGGAAACTATAAAAGTTCTTGGTGAGTAGTATTACAAAAAAAAATTTTAACCTACAAACTAGAAATTATAAAAAATAATCTTATTCTAGGTACTTAAATATTAACAATATCATTCGTTTACTGGCAAAATACATAATTTATTTGTAGGTCTTTTTAAAAGAGATTTCTCAGTACGTAGTGTGACCACCCGGGTTAAACCATCAGTACCAACGTGTTTTTGTTCTACCCGGCCAAGTAACCAGCGACCAGGAGGTAATTCATTTTCTTTGACTAGAACTACGTCTCCGACTTTAGGTTCTGGTACTTGACGAGCCCATTTATACCGATTGAACAACGTACTCAAATATTCCGATGACCACCGCTGCCAGAAATTCTGTAACATTCTTTGTACTAGTTGCCATCGATTCAAGAAACTTATTTGAGAAAGTTGATAGTCATTATCAGGAACGCCTACCAATGGTCCCCCAATCAGAAAATGTCCTGGGGTTAATGGCACAGGTACATCATAATCATCACCACTTATAACTGTCATTGGTCTGGAATTCAAACATGCTTCAACTTGCGTCAGGAATGTACTTAGTTCTTCATATGTAAGAGTGGACTCACCAATGACACGTCTTAGATGGAATTTGGTTGAGCGCACGACACGTTCCCATATCCCGCCAAAATTTGGAGCGTGTGGTGGAATGAAATGCCATTCCGTGCCCAAATTCTCCAAATGTTCCGACATTTGGCTTTGGATTGCAGATAATTCTTTTAGTTCTCGTGCGGCTCCAACAAAATTAGTGCCATTGTCACTCCATACTTGATTGCAGTGTCCTCGTCTGGACACAAAACGTCTAAATGCAGCTAGGAATGCTTGGGTACTCATATCACTCGCTACTTCCAAATGAACCGCGCGAGTTGACATACAAACAAACACGCAAATATATCCTTTATAGGCTCGATGTCCTCGGCCCTTTGTAGTTTTTATATTGATCGGTCCTGCATAGTCTACACCACTATGTATAAATGGTCTTGATGGTGTACACCTTACACTTGGAAGTGAACCCATTAACTGATTGGTCACCTTTGCATTATACCTGACGCAAGTAACACAATTGTGTACATGTTGTTTAACTAAACTTTTGGCTCTGACAATCCAATAAGCTGATCTCAAGAAATTGAGCATTAACTGAGGACCACCATGTAAAGTACAGGAGTGAGCACTTGCTACAATAAGTTTAGTGAGGTGATCATCATGAGGAAGAACTATTGGATGCTTCGTGTTATCTGGAAGTGCTGAATGCTGAAGTCGACCACCCACCCTGATTATATCATCATCATCAAGGTAAGGGCACAGTGATTTTATTTTACTTGTTTTATCTTTTATATAGCCTATTTTTGTAAGTTGTGTGTACTCTTCTTTAAATTCTCTTTTTTGACATTCTTTTATACAACTTTTTAATGCTTGATCTATTTCTATCTTTTTCAGGTACTTGGTTCTATTACTTTTTTCTTTACTTATAAATCGTTTACAGTATGCTACTACTCTTAGCAACCTGTTTAAGGAGGAAAACTTACTCCAGGGAGATTCTAATTTTTCTATTGTAACATGAGATTTAATACATTCTTCTAAAGTTATATCTGTATTTTTTGGACGATTGTATACAATATTTTTACTTCGCAGAAATTGTGGTCCTTCAAACCACTGACTACAGTCTGCTAGAGAGCCTGGTTGAATTCCTCTGGAGGCGCAATCTGCAGGATTGTCTTTCGAAGATACATGCGCCCATTGGTCCGAATCAAGTGTGGTTAAAATCTCGGACACACGGTTAGCCACAAACGTTTTCCACCTTGATGGATGACTATTTAGCCAAGCTAATACGACAGTAGAATCGGTCCAAGCTTGCACAGATTCCTTCGAAATGTTTAATGCTCTTGCTGTTTCAGCTAATAGACGTGCCAATAGTAATGCACCACAAAGTTCAAGGCGCGGTATACTGATTTGCTTAATAGGTGCTACTTTAGTTTTGGCCACTAGCAACGATACACTAATCTCTCCTGTACTACTGACTGATCTTGTATAAATAACTGCAGCGTATGCTGACTTCGACGCATCGCTGAAACCGTGAAGTTCTACCGAAACATCATTTCGTGTTATGCCTAACCATCGAGGGATGCGAACTTCGGAAAGTTTTGTGAGCTCATTTCGGTAAGTATGCCATTCTTGTTGTAGAACGGTTGGTACTTCATCGTCCCATTGCATTCCTGTCAACCAAAGCCTTTGTATGAGTATCTTTGCTAATATTACCGTAGGTGCTATCCATCCCAAAGGATCATACAATTTCGCTATGTCTGATAATATGTTTCTTTTCGTTACAGATGCTGATTTTGGAGGCAGGTGCACCGAGTACTTGAAGATATCGTCGGAAGGAGACCAGGTAAGTCCTAATATTTTTGTAGTATCGAATATGTCCTTTTCTTTCTTGTTCTCTATGTTCTCTTCTACTTTATTCTTCTCTTCTTTATCCCCTGTAGTCTCTCCTTTTCCCACATATTTTTCTTCTCTATTATTACGCTTATTTTCACCTTTCTGAAATACCATTAAAAGGTCTTTGTTGTTAGTGTTCCATTTTTGTAACTCGAAACCACCTTTGTTCAATAAGTTTGACATTTCCCTGTATAATACCTCTCCATCTTGTACTGTAGAACAGCCTGTCATTAGGTCATCCATATAAAAAGAATTTGGTATTAGTTCTGCTGCTAAAGGATAATTTTTACCTTCATCTATAGCTACTTGATGTAATGTCTTTACTGCCAGGTAAGGTGCCGATGCAGTCCCAAACGTGACAGTAATTAACTCATAATCTTTTATTTCGTCCTCAGGCTCGTCTCGCCATACAATTCTCTGAAACATAATATGTTCTTCTGCAACTCTAACCTGACGATACATTTTGACGATATCTGCGACGATACAAATGGGATGTATTCTCCAACGAGTTACGATATGACGAAGGTCTGATTGTAAGGTAGGTCCTACCATCAAAGTCTCATTAAGGGAAATATTGTATTCATATTTGCAGGAAGCATCATATATTTAGTGGTGGACTTATCATCTCGAACGACAGCATGATGTGGTAAGTATACCCTTTAGTTTTATCTCCTGTTTTTACTTCCCTCATATGATTTAATTTTAAATATTCATGTATAACTGATTTATATTTTTCTTTCAGATTTGTATCTTTCTTTATCTTCCGTTCTAATGCCATTAATCTATTCACAGCTATATCTCTACTATTACCACCTACACACGAGGGGTTCCCATCTCTAAAGGGTAAGTTTACCACATATCTTCCGTCCTTCGTCCTTTTTGTAGTGGTTGTAAATAGATTTTCGCACTGTTGCTCTTCATCAGTAAGTATTTTTTCACTTTTATTAGATAACTAGAGGGTGCGTGTGTGCGCGGGCCTCAAGAGGCCCGCGAGGCGTTGTCGTTGATTTTTTTTGTGAAGACGGTTTTCTTTTCGAATAGACTTGGTTGGCAAGTAGAGTTGTCTGTTTTGATACGAAATCATTCAGGTGACTTCCAATTGTAACAGTG